TCGTATTTGGAGAGCTACTACTTAAAAACAACCGTGAATCACTTGAGACAGGTACATGCCAGTTAGAGGTAGAAAACTCCTCGGCTACTGTGTCGCAACAAATAAATGAAGAAAGAAAGAACCTGCAACAGTTGCATGCCAGCTGAGCTATCAGCTCAATTAAAACCTGATGAACACAGTCCTCGGTAGCAACCTATCAGACGTGACAATATGCGTGTGGTAGCCGGAATGATCTTACCGTTGTTATGAATCCGTGCAGGGCGTTTTAATCAAACCACAAACTTATAATGCATCGCAGTAAGGCACCTGATCCCCATTAGCCTCTCTTTTGCGTCGATTCTTGTAGCCCCGTGGCCACAAGGCCCCAAATCTCAACGTAATTCCACGCGAGTGTCTTCTCACGAGTTGCAGATTAAATGCCTAAATCTTGTGTCAAATTTTTAACATATCTAGCACTCTCTTGTTATTCTACTAACGCACAAAGCCTTTTCAGTAAACTGCTTTAGCTTCGGCTGCGTCAAGCCTAGATGTCGTGGAACCTTATCATGGTAATTGAGACATGGTTGAGTGAAACGATCACAGACGTCGGACTCGTAGTATCTAGGGTGTCCATTCTGAACAAGGATTGACCGAACAGAGGAGGTAGTGTACTAATCGATCACCGCTGTGAGCTACATCTTAATCTCATCGGTGACTCGGAGATCCAGATTGTCGACGTGCTTTGGTGCCGTCCTCACCTAAAACGTGGCGACACATGTTTAATAAGTGTCGTGTACAACCTCTATTGTCCACTTCAGAAATGGACAACCACCTAGCTTCCAGCTGAAAACTATTTCCGAACAATTCCACTGACATACTCTGCTGGTTGGTGACTTCAATATTTATGCTCTAGAAACTCCAGCCTGTCCCGTAGAATAAAAGGATCACCAACAGACAAACATGTTGCATTGTCCACAAGATTCAAGAAAGGGAACAAAGCATTTGGGCCGCAGCGACCATACAACACCCTTGTTCAACTATATCTGTTATGCAGCGTATTCCGCAGAAAAGCTCGACGACTCTTAGCTTAGGATCGATTTCGGTGTGCTGACCACACCTTTTAATGCAACCAACTGGTCATTACTAGTTGAACTATCCCCCGATGTGTGCTAATGAGACTTTGTTCATCAATTCAAGTTAATAATCAGTGCTTCGAAGAGCAGGTCCTTGCGCGCGATGAGAGAAAGGCCATGCATATGCAGCAGGATGCGGAAGTGTATGATCACAAGAGGTTCACTCTGGCGAAATTACCGAGATCCACCGGATGCCGATACATGAGCAGCCTACACATTCCAGTGGAATCCTTGCGCGCGGATAAAATAAAACATAGACAGAATGTAGCTAAGAAATTTTGTTTAAACCCCAAGCTACTTTGCAGACAAGTTAGCAACCTCCGTAAAGTGAAACGAGGAATTCCTGTCCTCCACACACCATGTACACCAGCACGAACTACAACAGAAGCTAATAACGCCTAAGTCAGGAATTCTCCCTAAACTACCAGAGTAGGAGTTTGTTGTTTAGGCTGCTCACGCAAGTTGCACCACCGCCAGGACGTAGGCATATCAGTTGTACGGCTTAAGTCGTTCTGAGAAGGCTAATTTTGCTAAGCGAGCATACCTCACTTGCAATGAATTTGGCGGATCCATTTGTCTCAGTTCTGCCAAAGATGTCACCACGAAATGTGGGTACCAAAAAGGTGAAAGTACGGAAGTGGCGCTCCCATTCACAAGGACGGAACGCACGCATATCCCACCAACTATCGTCTGAGTACACGCCATCTAGTGCTCCCCAAAGTGTTGCAGACCATTATTGTCGAAGCGCACAGGAATTACCTAGAAGAATGCAACAACATAGCACCAGAAGGAAAAGGCTTCCGCCAGAACCGGTCTTGTACCATAAACCTGGTAGTTGGTCAATCCAATTAGTGCATAGGTCTGAATCAACGCATGCTCCTTCATAGGCTTCAGAGCCGTGGAAGTAGTGGCCAAATTCTCGGTTGGACTGGTAACTTACTTCTTGAACGACATTTGAATAAAATAGTTCGCCGCGCCATTTCTGACCCTATCGGTGTTCAGTACGGAATGTCACAGGGCTACGTACTTAGTCCACGCCTATCTCCAATTTAAATAAACAACCTCGCGAGAGTGAGCACTACCATTTTGTACCCTTTGCTCATGACCTCAAGGTATACAGGGCCATCGAAACAACGGGTGACCACGGAGCACTTCAGGTTGACTCTGATAGGGTATACGAATGGACAACCCAAAACCCGCTTCACTTCAACGCCACCAAGTGGGAGACTGCGCATACGCCGTCAATCCACTTGCGAGTAAAGGCTGGGCGACCAAGTTTTGCAGGGCCCTTCTACTGATTAGGACATATGTGTACAAGAGAATCGTGGCTGTTCACCAGAAAGCATCCATAAAGGCCAACCAACACATAACCTTTTTGCGGAGGGCATTCGGGTGTGTTGATTGATACGTCTTCTTTTATACGTTCAAGGCCCCCATTCAGAATACGCTATCCATGCCTGGCAGCCCTAGTACAAGCAATTGAAATATGGTAACGAACGACGACCAAGGATTCAAAGCATCCGTTTCATCTCACTTACGAACTACGATTGACAACCCTCGAGGTCTAAATGGATAATATCCACACCTGCGTGGCGAGTTGTTACGAGATAGTTGATCCAGATGAATAAAAAACATGCTTATCGTCACCTACAGAAGCTGCAACACCATACCACTCTGAGAGATCACCAGCTAATGTTGACCACACGGTATGGCCGGTTGAAATGTCGCCACATTTCTTTTCACTAGTTTGTGCAAAACGTGGAACACCATCCCCATCCATGTTCTTTGCCTCACCACACTGACGGTACTCCATAGACGTCTCGATGATAGACTCATACGTTTACACTACGCTATCCAGCCCTTTATGCTTGTGTTTCAACCAATCAGCGTGCTCATTTTCACTTCTTACACTTCATTAGTCTAACACTACTACTGTGGAATATCGTTAGGGTGTACTCTAACTAGATTTACGTCTCATATCGGTCCAAGGAAGCGTCACGCACAGGAGCGTTGTCATTACTATTTCTAATCCATTTCCCATGGAATACGTCAACTATTAATGTTCACCAGCTTACTTCGTGTGTACACATTCAATTCTCATCTCAAACTATCGTTACGAAACAGTGAGGTTAAAACGGTAGACGTTTACACTGACAATTCATTTATCCCATAATTTTTCCAAGTGTTTACTTTAACCAGCCTACGGGACTTGCCAAGTCAGTGGTAAGTCGTAGTTCGTTGCCCAAGTAGGACAACTATGCGCTCACAGCTGATTCCCATCAGATGGGTTGTTCGTAGAATATGCAGTTGCTCACTATCAATATTGTGCAAATGCAAGGACAAAGGTTTCGACAGCCTTAGTTGAAAGACGCAGTGACATGATCAACCGAGCAGCAGAAACAAAGCCTTTTCGTACCGTAAAAGCGACGTCAATTCTCAGATGCATGACTAGAAAATACATGGTAATAAGGGACGCATAAGAGCGTGTCTGCAAAGCCAATGCAGACTCAGAGACTTAGGGCAACTAAGTGACCCACCGCAATCATTGTACCACACTTGTCAGGGAGAACAAAGTAACTTATCAACAATGCTTAACCAAAACGTTTTGGGAAAACAACAAACGACTGTACATGGATACTAACAGCCTTCGTAAAGTAAAGCAGGCCACCCCTCAACTTTTCGCAACAGACAGTAGGAAAAAAGTGCCGAGGAAGCAGCCAATGCCGTGCGGTTACAATACGTCCCGATTTTTGAACTCACAGTATGCCGCTGTTACATACTCTTATTCAGTTTACCGGCTCCATGATTTACACATGTAATTTTTAACCCAGCAACTGTGCTATGGAAGTTACGCACACTGCGCAATCATAGCTGTCCGGGAGTCGACATCATCCACCCGAAGGCAATGATGGCTGCGCAGACTAAGCTAGCCGAGACCCAGTCACAGTTCTTTCAAAGATGTTTCGATGAACAACAAGGCCCCACTATGTGAAAGCATGGCCGTTGTAGCCTGATTTTTAAAGGTGATAGCCTACAGACCCTGCAAACTATTGCCCAGTGCATCATCTCCCTGTGCTCTCGAAGGTGATGAAAACGGTCGTCGTTGAGGCTCTAATGGACTACCTGGACAAAAGCAAATGTATTGGTGCCGGAGCAGCATGGCC